GAGAGAGAGAGAGAGAGAGAGAGAGAGAGAGAGAGAGAGAGAGAGAGAGAGAGAGAGATTGTGTATAGATCGGTAAATAGATGTGAAATCGTCATAGTTTCCACAAGCAATAGCATAGTTTCTACAAACATGCTAAATATTCACCTATAACTTATTAATTTAAAATGTTCTAGGCAAGTGATGCATACCTTCAGATGGCCATCGGCAATGCCCCCTGGCCTATTGGTGTCACCATGCCCGGTATTCACGCTCGTACAGGACGAGAAAAGATTTCTTCAAAGTATGTTGGTCATGTTCTGAACGATGAAACCCAGCGCAAGTACATTCAGGGTCTCAAGCGTTTAATGACACAGTGTCAGAAGTTCTACCCAGCCGATCCCTCCAAGAGCATGGAGTACAATGCATTTAATTTTGACACTTAGCTAGTGCGTCATTATATAATTGTTAGCAATGACAGTAATATTAATTTGTCATGTTGTAAAAATGGGATTATATTTAGTCTGGTGGACAATTTCTTATACTATAGGATAGATGACATTTTATCGTAAACAAACAACAACATGTAAACAAATCTGAATCTTTGGTCGATCTAGCTGTCCACGTTATAGGAGTTTTTACTGTAAAATTGAGAAAATTGCAAAATAACTTACACATAGCTGTGCTCAAAGCAACGTGCCCTCCAACCGTTATCTGTTACAGAAAAAGAAATGTATTTTGTGTTTTTTTGTAAAAAGTTGTACATGAATGCTACGTATAATAAAAATATGATGTAAATAACAAAAGTGTTTCCGTACCTTCTTAAGGATACAGTCAGGGTTACGGACAGGTACCTCTGTAAAGGGCATTGCAACATAACTGCTCACCAAATTCAATCAAACATATCTATGTAATAAAAGAGATGTCTCTCTACGCTCACGATGAAAATAATCATGAAAAAATTCATTAGTAACTTAGTGATGGCAAAGAGGAGATAAAGGAGAAAGAGGCGGAGGGAGGGAAGAATGCAGACGGAGACGTGCACACGCATGCGCAGTACACACGCGCAGACAAACGCACGTACGGTACACACACACAGGCACGGATGCTCATATTTCTTCTAATATAGTTACTTCTCTCGCCTTCCCGCTCACTCATCCCCCCCCCCCCCCTCTCTCTCTCTCTCTCTCTCTATCTCTCTCTCAACTTTTTCACCTCGCGAGGCACAAAATGTGAATTTACGTCTATAATACACGCGCGCGCGTGCGTGTAACCTAGGGTCCCTATATACAGACCCCCTACTCTGTACCCCTACTGTGTACTCTGTATACAGGGACCCTAGTGTAACCATACCCGCTTGTGCGCGCCCGGTCGCGTGTGTGTGTGTTTGTGTGACTGTAAAAACACGTATTATAGCCGTATAGTCATATTTTGTGTTTTTTTTGGGGGGGTGTGAAAAAGTTGAGGCTGAAAACCGGCCATTTGCCTGGCTAACTTTTCACCGTTCACCTGATGCCGTGGGCGATACTATCCGCGAGAGGGGGAGAGAAATACAGAGAATAATGGAGTAAGAGGGGAGGAGGAAGGAAAGGAAGAGAAAAGAGAGAGGGACCGAGGGAGGGAAGAATGCAGACGGAGAGGTGCACACGTATGCACAGTACACACGCACAGACAAACGCACGTACGGCACACGCACAGGCACGGATGCACATATTTCTTCTAATATAGTTACTTCTCTCGCCTTCCCGCTCACCCATCCCCCCCCCTCTCTCTCTCTCTCTCTCTCTCTCTCTCTCTCTCTCTCTCTCTCTCTCTATCTCTCTCTCTGAAACACACACAAACCACACACACACACCACACCACAACACACACACACACACACACACACACACACACACACACACACACACCTCCTCTCTTTCTCTTTCTCTTCACGCACAAACTCGATTACAACAAATCAAAACAAAACAGAATAAATGTATGCGTTCCATCTTCTTTGCTAAAAAAAAAGAAAGTGCTACCCTATACTACAACCTTCTAGACATTCTTAATCTTGATAATGTTTTTAAACTCAAAATCTCAACTCTTGTACACAAAATCAAGTATGTTAAAACGGATATTCATGCAGCCTTTATTGATCTAATTCCTTCTGCTTTACAAATACATAATTATAACACTAGGTATGCCTCAAAAGGTAATCTACACAGAGCTGCCTCCAGGACTAACTATGGTCTATCTCGATTTAAGTCTCTGGCCTCAAGGATATGGGAAACAATTCCTCTTGAAATGAAAACCTCGCCTCACAGTAAATTTAAACATGATTATAAGCTATTCCTTCTAGACAGCCAGTAATAATCAATTAAATTAAATTAGTGCGTGTTATTTAGGACCATTGGTTATATATTATATTATGATTGTTTGCTTGCACTTGTTACTTATTACTTATTACATCAATTGTATTTTTTGTTCTACTGTTCCATATATATGTATATATGTATATATTTTGTTTGTACCTAGACAGCCAGAAATGTTCAATTAAATTAGTGTATGTTATTTAGGACCATTAGAAATTAGTTATATATTATATTATAATTGCTTTCTTGTTCTTGTTACCTATTACATCAATTGTATTTTTTGTTCTAGATACTGTTCCATATATGTATGTATGTATGTATATATTTTGTTTCCCTCTTATTTCCTATATTTAGTTTAATTGTACTTTTCCCTCGGACTTTTTATTACCTATGGTAGTGGTCAACTCGAAAGCTTATTAATTGCTACTTTGACCACTACGCACATTCACCTTGAACCTATCGATTCTATAATATTATTTATTTCTCTCCCTTTTTACTTCTATCTGAAATTATCTGTACAAATGAATGAAAAGTGCAAAATAAAATGAATCTGAATCTGATGAATCTGCACGCACGCACGCACGCACACACGCACTCATTCACGCACACACATACATACACTCTCTCTCCCACTCTCTCTCTCTCGCAATTTTTCTCTTTCTCGGGCGCTATATATATACACATGACCTGTCCTAATATAATTGGCAGAGTGTGTGTAGATAAAATAATGTAATCCAACAAGAGTAGGCTTGAATGTTGGGTTACATTATTGTATCTAGACTCTAGCGTGTGGAACTGGCACGCGGCGTAGTGCTTTTAACTTTGTCAGTCTTTGATTGGGAATTAGTGTAATACGGTGTTAACTTATTATTTGCAAATGTTTTTTTGGGAAACTAACCAAAATGTATTGTAATCATTCCTGGAAACATATCAAAGTATCCAAAAACTAATTTTACTGTGAAATAGAAATATTAAATAGCAGACGAATGGTGGAGACGAAACGGCGACGTGAATGACGATGACGATAATGAATTTCAACAAGTGAACATTAAATGGAAAGCAAACATGGTGTAAAAAACAAAGGTATGTCTTGTTAGTTCTTCTTTTTATAATGATACATTTTGTATATTCATAGATTGTGTGTTTCGTTATGATTTGTGAGTGTTATGTAGTTCAAGTTGACGCCAGATAATAAACCGATAGAAACTATCCGTCTATCGTGCTCACCGAAATCGAATAATCACTGTCACTCGACCACTCGGACCAGGCACTGAGTCTGACGCTGAAGGGGTCGTTGTCGTATATGTAGTACTAGTAGTCGGCGAGTATGTCGCCTACGCCTACTCCCTAATAGTAACCCTAATCCTAACCCTAACACCCTAACCATAACCCTAACCATATCAGATAGTTACTTTGAGTACATATTATACGCCATTATACGACAACGACCCTTCGTGCGGCACCTGACTGAGGCCAGTGGCAGTGGTTGAGTCAGTAATAGTACTAGTACTACTAGTACTAGTACTAGTAGTAGTAGTAGTACTATAGTCCGCTTACATTAACTGCCGCTGGTTAGCCAGCGGTTAACGCCAGCGGCAGTTAGTGTAGGCGGGCTATAGTACTAGAGCTATGGCTGAGTGAGGCTGATTGATAGGGTCTAATACTAGTCTATGACTCCCTGGGTACTGCCGGACCTGTTTTTTACCTATATACCGTACATAAAGAAAAATCAATAATTATTCACGCGAGGATTTTTCTAAATGTACTCTTGTAAAATTTATTGACAAATAAAATCAAGGTAAGACTAGGACTAGAAGGGTAACCTGAAATGCATGTGGGGGGTGGGGGATTGGGCTCTCTTGCATATAGTTACTCAATTCAGATATTCCACTCACTTTGCTAATTTGAGATAAGTATTGAAGCTAGTGCCGTAAAGCGGCACGCTTCCTGTCAACAGTCGGTCGAGGGGTTCAAAATTGGGTACGGTTGGGTACGGTCAGGTATACCAGACAGTTACCAGGGTACATTCTGGTATACCGGACCGTACCTAGGTTACGGTCTGGCAGTACCCAGGGAGGCATAGACCTATCAGCGCCAGTGAGGCACTGAGTGCACTGAGATACTGAGACAGTAAAAATAGTTTTAGTGTTTTACTGGGACTGGCGCTACCAGTGAACACTCACTACTAGACTTTGTAATCTATGCCAATTTTTATTGGTGGCTTGTATTGTACATTTTTTTGCGACAAGGTACACTAATTTATTGTACTTATGTAATTCAAAATGCGGGTATAATGTACTATTCTGCAGATCTAGGCTGGATTTGTTCGTATACTGCATTATTTCCAATAATTAGCCCTCCAGTCCATAGTACTAGTAGCCTTATTAATGCTCGTGCTGAGGAGTGACACACAATTTGAGTTGTCTTTCAATACTGAAAAATGTAAAAAAAATCTTTGCATTATACCTGCTCTTAATCATCCTTGACTTTTACTTACCTGGCAGAAATATCTATCTATTACCGACAGAATATTCTTAAAAGATCTATAGACTTTTTAGCTCAACTGACACGGTCCTGAAGATGGAGCTTGTACATGTATTGGCATGAGTGTCCGTCCGTCCCTCCATCCCCCAACAGTTGGGTACAAATCTAAACGGCTTGACGTACAGTTTAGAAATTTGGGACGCAGGGGAGTAATCCGAAAACACATTGGGAGCTCGAATCTGGGGGGGTCAAGGGTCAAAGGTTAGGATGTTTAAAGGAAGGGGGAAGATTCCTCTCTTAACTTAAGGTATAGGGAGGAAATGCGGAATTGTGGTACAAATCTAAACGGCTTAACCTATGCTCTTGATAATCGGTATATATAGCGTCATGGTTCAAAACGCCGTCACTGTGCCAAAATTGGAGGTCAAAGGGCAGTGGGGCAAAGAGCAGATTTTAGACATTTGCTGAGGACATGGTCTGACGTCAGCGGTGACGTACCATTTTTATGGCTTAATTGAAAGGACCATGAAATGTGCTCTTCGCAGATGTGGGAAGAGTAGCTGTCTGCACTGACCTTTTGCAGTGCCTGAAATGAGAGCCCAAAAATTTTTGGGGGGTGAGTAAACATTTTGAGTCACTGGCCCAAATGGATTGTTGGAGGCACAAATTTTTAGCTCATCTGACGTAGTCTGCTTTTGACCCTCAAGAGGATGGTTAAACATTGATCAAAGGACTGAACTGCTTTTGCTATTAGAGGTCATACCAGTGCTCCCACCTGGATGTGAAAGGCTACATTTGCACAGTTCAATTGCAAAGGCAAAAGTTTGTTGAACAAACTTTACGCTCCTTAAATCATATTATTTTAGCAGTCTGTATATTTAATAGCACCCAGCCAAAGTCCTGTTTATGCAATGCAGATGTGTTTACTGAATTTATTACTCACCGCTGAGCTTTGAGCTAGGAGCTCTTTATCGTGACACTCGTTTATCTTTACCTTATAAGTTATATCTGTTTGGCTCTTTAGCACTGTACAGCCCTTCACGGCACCACAGGCCCTAAATATGTGAAACGTCCTGTAGCCCTGTGCTGTAGCAAAGGGTAGTACAGTAGAGCAGCAGACCTCAGATGAGCACTGTCGCTATGCGGCACTTGTTATTACTCAAAAATGAGTCTAAACCTACTAAATCTACATTTAGTAGCTTAAAATGTTTAAAACTAGTTTTTGGTGGAGAAGTGAAAGTGATATTCATATGTGATAGAAGTCCATTGCGGGAACTTTTGGAGAGGAACTTTCGATTGTTGGAGAACTACTGATAACAGATATAATTTATGCTAATTTATGCAGGAATAAAAAGTGGAACTATGTAATTAATTAAAGATTAATTGCATCAAGAGGCATACCAGGTGCAGCACCCTTTAAATCATGTTGGCATATGGAATTGGAATTTCAAGGTGATATAATGAAAATTAACAAAAGTAGAGTAAAAAGATTACATTTTTTGGTCTTTTTGATGACCATGGCATGTACTCCCTATTGTTGTAAGGCAATTATAAATGGGCGATATTCTCCAAAAGGGCCCAAAAGTTGCCACCTTCAAAAGTCAATTTCTCAGCACTCCCTTGATCAAATTTCAAAATTTTAAATGTTCTATGCGTCTGGTGATGTCCTCTAAAAGTTTTGTTGTCTAAAAGTTGCATTACAATTTTAGTGTGGCATTGCTATTTGGTTAGTTGCAAAATTGAAGCTTTTTGTATTGAGTTCTGCAGTGTTGCTCTGTTTATTTGATCAACTTTGTCTCTCCATTTTTTATATATTCCCGTGGACTATAGTATAGTATAGGCCTATCGACTAATCTTTATGAGGTTACATTATGTTGTGGTGTAGTTGTACCATAGATAGTGTCTAGTGTTTGTAAATTTTATGTTTGTTAACAACCATTATTTATTTTATATATTTATTTACTTAGGTAATTATCCATATATATTAACATACTGTTACAATATATTTTAAATTCATGAAATTTGATAACTACCAAGGATATCATATATACACAAAAGGTATGACTAGCACACTAATTACCTCCGCCCACGGAGTGGAGGAGGTTATGTGATCGCTCTCGTGTAGTGTGTTCGTGTGTTAGTGCGTTCGTGTTAGTGTGTTGGCGCGATCGATATTAGCGCGTCGAGTCTGCAGCAGGCTAGTCAGTCAGCAGCAGCCAGCAGCGAGCGGCGAGCCAGCTCGTAACACATACATGTTACATTCTGGCGGAGGTATGCACTCTCCGTGAGTGCCCTCTGTCTAGTTTACATTGTGGTCCTTGCTACTACTGCTGCATTGCTACCATGGGTGTTGTAAGGTGTATGGTATATTTGACCCCAAAATTCTATTGCCATGTTAAGGTGCAATTAAAATATACTTCATGTACATTGGGATTATAACAAGATGTCTGATATAATTATGTAAACCTGGTTGTGTATCTAGTCTCTTGCGACATCTAGTCGTACATTTGTTTGCATTTGTAAACAAATAATATCAGCTAACACAATGGTCACTCTCAAAATAACCATAAATTTACTTATTACTTTTATTATTATTATTACTTGTTATTTATTATTATTATTATTATAATTATTATTATTAGTAGTAGTAGTAGCAGAGTTTGCCCTGCATTGACACGAGCGAATTAAAAATTCTCAGCTGCCACACAGAAATTTGTCCAAAACACCGCCTCGCTGACGAAAATCAATGTTCTTCCATAGAACAGTGCTTATAATACACCAAAATAGGTTATAATGCACCAAATTGCACCATCTCAAAAAAAATTTGGGGGGGGATGCCCCTGGACTCCCCTAGCTGGGCGAGCACCTACCGTGCTCGCTTTGCTAGGACCTCGAAAACACACCACAAGATTTTTTACCACTTCACATACCTTTTTGGCCAGGGGAAACACTGCAGTATTTTTTGTAATACAATATTCTAAAATCCATGTAACAGTATTATGCTTGTTTATGTTTGGTGTAGGTTAGATTTACTGTCTCCAAGCTGTACAGTAAGTTAAGTAACAAAAAAAACACATAAAAATTATATGAAGAGTCATTTCATCAATGTTAGCAAATTCTAAATTTTTTTTTTTTTGACAATCGATTATTTATTTTTATAATCGAGCGCTTAGTCGGTTGCTGCAAACGACTGACCTTCGATTATAATCGATCATCGGGACATCACTATCTATAAGTATAATATGCTTGATTAACTAGTAAACCATTAGCAAGTACTTGCCATGGGGCAGATTACATGCCACAGTGCAGCTGTAATTTAGCTATCCAAGAATGTTATTCAGCTCAATTGTAGCAGTAGTTTCTATTTGTTACACATCTAGGTAATAAAAGAGGTGTCTGAACCAGTATAGTATCTGCACGGTGTATTTCACCTCTCGTGTCATGGAGGCTGATGAGGAACTGGTATCATCTGGGTCTAACACAGACTTGTATCAGCAAGATAACCTGTTGTCTCGATCAGAGTCGCTTAAAGGTTAGTGTGTGTGTGTTGTGGTTAGTGTTTATAGCATCAAGTTGGTGTGATTGTTAGTGCCCCCATCCTGCATAGAACATGACCTTTCTTTTTGATCTAGCATGTCCTCATTATATTTTACTCAGCATTATTTAGCTTCTAGTTGTTTTGGCTACAATATAGCTTGATGGTTAGTAGCATCTTGTTTTTTCTCAGCATTTAAAAATTGGCATTTAAAAATATTTCAGAATAGTATTATAGTACTGTATAGAGTCAAACAGCACACGTCATTCCTGACAGCGAAACCTAAACGTTCTAAACACATTTAAATCCTTTCATTACTATGTCAATTTATGTCAAATCCTACTCAATGTAGAGAATTATGTGTGGAATATTTTACATACAAAAGTCGTTCTTAGGTCACAGCAGCACGGTGCCTGACTCTGCCGGCAGTACCATCTCTAACACGCCTCTGAACCCCTGGCCGGATGCAGGGCTTCCTTCTCAGCTCGGCAGTGAATGTGCAACTTCTGCCGGCATGCCGATGCACGAGGATGAGCCACAGTCACTTGCGAGCAATGCAGATGCGGTTGAACCCGACAGTCAGTCTCAGAGTTTCTATGAGCAGAAGTCTGTGGAGAAGGATATGGTTGTGTCGACGTCTGATCCAGTGCAACCTTATAGCAATGGGACCGTTGGAGATTGCCCAGTGCCATCTATACCTGGAAGTCGCAGTGAGGGCGAATATATGAGGGGGATCCTAGAAACAGGTGCAAGTAAACAAACAGCAGTACCAGACACGAGTGGTGAGTGCGTTCTCTTCTTATTACCTCCGCCCACCAACGGAGTTGGAGGAGGTTATGTTTTCGCTCTCGTGTGTTAGTGTGTTAGTGTGTTAGTGTGTTAGTGTGTTAGTGTGTTAGTGTGTTAGTGTGTTTGTGTGTTTGCGCGATTGATATTAGCCAGCCAGCCAGCCCGCCAGCGAGTCAGCAAGCCGTGGCGTATGGCGTATGTCGTTGGCGGTCGATCGATATCACCCAGCGAGTCAGCAAGCCAGCGAGCGTGTACATGTGAGCGAGCAGCAGCAACGAGCGGCTGCTACGAGCGAGTGGCAGCAAGACAGCGAGCGTGTACATGTGAGCGAGCAGCAGCAACGAGCGGCTGCTACGAACGAGCGAGCAGCAAGCCAACAAGCCAGCGTGTACATGTCAGTACGCTGGCGTATATCGTGGGTTATTCGTGTGTTCGTGAGTCGTATGGCGTATGTTGTTGGTGGAGGTATGCACTCTCCGTGAGTGCACTCTGTCTAGTATTATATAAAGTTGTTCAGCCGAATTAGTCCGAACTCGCATAACCAGAGGACTCCGCAGCCTAGAGGAATACTAAAGATATTTTCAGAATCGGCACGTCTGGGAGGTGGTTCTGCGTGAAACAAAAATTTAAAAAAGTTAAAAAGTTGAAAATTTATTAAAATTCTATTCATCAATAGATGGTGGTGCGTACAGATTAACATCACAGACGTGTGAATCCATGGGGTATACCCTTAATGGCGCAGTGGACTAATTGCTAGAACATCCGTCTCCTACACCGGGATTCCGGGTTCGAGTCCCAGCTGGGGAACTTATTTTGCCTCTTTATTCCTTTTTTCCCCTTTACCTACCTCTAGTATTACCTTTACCTACTATTATTTTTTAACTTTTAATCAGGCTTTCATTTTTAAGGGGCGCGATCGCGCTCGCGCTCCACCGCGCACCATAAATTGTGCCATGGTGCGCGCATCATCGCGCCTCATAAAAGTGGTTGAAATCGCGCACCAAATGTCTGTGTATTATGTTGAAATAGCGCTCCATTTTACAGGGATGAGAATCTTCCGCGGATCCGCGGAAATCCGCGGATTTCACAGTCCCAGGGTCGATTTTGTGAAACGTCTAAATCCGTTGAGAGAAAATTTTAGGGGGGTTAGAATGTACAAATTTTCATTTTACAGTCCAACAGCCTACTAACAGTACCTTCATTTAATACCATTGTAATATAGTTTGCTTTACAATATAGACACGGCTTAGTTCACTGTTTGAGATTGTCAGACGTTGGCCAGTGTGTGCGTTTATTTGACGCTGCAAGTGTGTGTGGTTGTGTATGCCGCGCGTGCTACGCAGGCCGTATATATAGTACGCGATCGATCGATCGTGTACATCAAAAGCCGCCGCGTCACGCGTGGCCTTGAGGCTAGTTTTCCCTGTCCACAGAGTTGCAATGGATCGCGAGCCCTGACTGGAGTATCTATTCTAGCCCAACTCTTGTTTCAGTAGCCAATGAGAATGCAGTTTTCATACACCCTTCGTCGTATCTTAAAACAATGGCAGACCTTTTAAGGGTGTGATTTTTAGTGGAGCTCTCCATCATGCCTCTTAAGGGTGTGATTTTTTAATGGAGCTCTCCATCATGCCTCTTAAGGGTGTGATTATAGAGCGTGAAAAGTCCCCCTATGGTGTTCTAGGGGAGTCATTAGTAGTCCTCCTATACTTTTCAAATCTGAAAGCCTGTTTAATTTTAATTTTTTATAGTTAATGTCTTATCTTTTGATTTCTTCTTATTTTTTACTGTTTGGGATGGGATGGGATGGTATGGGATGGGATGGGATGCGGTGCGATGGGATGGGATGGGATGGCATGGCATGGCATGGTATGTCATGGGATGGCATGAGATGCGATGAGATGCGATGAGATGGGATGGGATGGGATATGGGATATGGGATATGGGATGGGATGGCATGGCATGGAATGGGATGGATGCATGGATGGATGCATGGATAGATAAATAGTTAGATTTTTTGGGGTATTTTTCTTTCAACCAAGCGGTCACCAACTGAGTAACGCCACTGATTTCTCCGGGCAACGCCGGGTATCTCGCTAGTCCTCTGGGTGCTTGGTTATATGTGCTTGCTTGCTAGAGTTACATGTGCGTTGAACCTACTGCATTCATTAACAGTGCTGGAATTGTTGAAGATACGTTTCATCTGTCGACTTATAAATAAAGAAAATCTGATTATGGTCATTATGCCCACACTTTTCTAGTGTGCCTTTGCATACATGTGTTATTACACTAATTTATAGGATCACAAACCTACTAGCATGCCTAAATCATGTAGTCTATTACCTTCCACAGAAATGTCAGTGTAGTTTGTACCACAAGGTTGACTCATGTCTGTCCATGAGTTTTGTGACTTACATGTTCACGTCGTCATGTTTTCAGTAGATGGCGATGCAGATGACAGTCGGATGTCTTTCTTCACGCCCGACGAGCGACCAAGTTTCTGCGACAACAGTGTGACACCCAGACGCAATGCGAGTGAAGCCAATGATGAGAACACGAGTGCCATTAGCCGATGCATCAGTAGCTCAGACTTAATGGCAGACAACGTGTTTCCAACCACAACAGGTGACGGCACCGAGTTGGCGGGTTTAGCTTCCAACTGCCCCTCGGTTGAACCCGGAAATCTCAAGGCGAATGTCGATGCTATCCTACGGGAGGCAGCTAGCGGAAGCATGGACCAGGTAGCTGTGGCGGCCCCTGATGGCAACTACACGGAAAATGACGCTTGTGTCGGTGAGGGTGCTCTCAACGTCGACTTCAGCGAAGAGATGGACTTTGAGAATGCGACCGAGACGGCGCTTGAAGACCTGCAGGGATTCCTAGACTATGTGCCCGGCGGTGAGACGGCAGACGCGGATGCGGGAGGCAGCGCAGTCGTCACGGGAACGCTCGACGTGGCATCCGAGGTGCTAGATGACAATACAACTGCTGCGCAACAGCGAGCGCTCGCGGAGTCCATCCCGTGGGAAGGTGAAGCGAAGCCAAGCACAAGTGCAGCACATAAGCCAGTGAAGAAGCCACGGAAGAAGTTGACCACAAAAAATGCGGGAGGCAAAAAGGAGAAGGACAAAGAGAAGCATGAGGTTTGGGTCATTACACATGTGCATTTAATACCATAAGTAACATATCATGAGATGTTGAAAGAAGGTGAAGCCCAGGCTATTTGTTTTGAAGACAGTTTATAGCATTGCTATTATAAATCGTTTATGTTGCACAGGGTGGAGATGATACGGACAGTAAGCCAAAGAAGAAAAGAAAAAGAAAGCGTAAAGGAGAAGGCAAAGGTGGGGAAGAGAAGAAAACCAAGCTCCATGTGACCAAGGAACGAAAGAATGTACATGAAAGGAAAAATATTAGGTATAGTTTGTTTTGGTTGTTGGGGAATCTAACTGACCCATTATGATTCTTTACTGTAATCAACTTGTCTATAGCCGAATTATTCAAATTGAAAACACTTGCATTAATTAAGTAATGCTCGATCACTTGTGCCATTGTAACGAGGATGATGACGTTACCTGGTTCAAAGTAGATTTGTTGTAGCGATGAATAATGAAAACTCCAAAGTCCAAGCAGTTGTGTTTTGCAAATAGTATTATTTTTCTCAACCCACATGCGTGCGCACAGAGGCACGCATCCGCGTGCCTCCACACTATCGTTCTTTTCTCTCTCAACCAAGAACCTTCCATTTATACATTTCTAGCTAACAAAGAAAGTCGCGCGCGCGGACAACCACACCCGCTGCACACATGCACAACAACTCTCTCTCAACCGTTTCTCATCTCCATCATCCATACTACATCAAACGCGCTGCCGCCGACTAACCCATTATGCAACCACCGTCGCGACATTTCCAATCACCCAACTACCATTTGTAACATCTGCAAACCACAACTTTACACCATCTTTGGGAATCTGAATATTTCAACACTGAATACAATCGTATATCTGTTGTAGTTTATAGTGAATGATGGTGCATTAATATGCATATTAAAACATATAGGTAACTGCATATTAAACTGTATTTGTTAGTCATATAATGTAATTGATAAATTTTAATGTTTGCCACATAGGAAACTTCTAGATGAATCAAAGCTGGAGCATGCTACCATGGCAGCACAGCAAGAAGAGATGGACAGAAAACGCCGCCTGGCAGAAGTTCAGAAGAGCCTACACGCTGCGCAGGAGCAACAGCAGCAGCAGTTGCTATGGTTACCGTTAGAGGATGGCACTATGGACAATCAGCTGGAGGAGGAGAGTGACAAGGAGACGGTTCAAGAGACAGAGGTCAGCTATGAAACCTGTTGTGAGGTTAAACTGTGACAAAGTAAAAAAAAATATTCTTGCTATAAAGCACATTTAGATGTTGATGTTGAGATGAAACATGATTACGTATCAAAGAATAGTCGGAAGAAAACTTGTGTAAAACAGTGGATATTTATGTATGATTTCATTAGTGCTTGAGTAAATATTTATTTTTATTCCAGGCCTCACAACAGGAAGAAGAGAATAAGGATCTACCAGTAGAAGATTCTGAGAGCATGCCCTTAGACAAGCAGCCACAAAATGAACTGCAAGTGCCAGATGCACCTGCCATTAAGCCACGTAAAGGTAAAGTTGCTTTGTATCTGTCGTGCAGTAGGAAATCATATAGGGTCCTGTGTTGCTCGTTTCAGTTATGCTGCAATATGTCAAGTTCTTTATACTTGGTGTCAAATATTGGAATCGGTGTTTATCAGACACATGTTCTTGTAAGTAGGTATACTTAAAATTACAGTTATCATAGACTGTGTAGCAATTGTAAAATGACTAAGATTCCAAGAATTGTTATCTTTTTACTCAAGGATTTTGTTTACCATACTTGTTTGCTAATGAAAAAGCATAGTGAGTGATATGACATTGTTGTTAACTCGATTGCTCAATTGCTTGGTTGTTTACTCAGTTGATTAGTCACTTGATGTCATTGTTGATAGCAGCAGTTTGCTGTATACCTCGGCTATACTGATTAGCCTACTCACTCATGGTCTTGTAGAGATGAAAAAAGGAGAATACTGATTGTGGAGTTTTAACACACATACTTGGCCGTTCTGGCAAACCTTGATCTTGTTGTAGAACTTCCAGCGAAACCCGTCGTTACGATGGCGAAGCATGACGATGTTGTATGCCTGAGTAGTGACAGTGAAGAGGACAGCTTCCCCTCAAACTGGCGCACGGCACTTGCACAGGACATGGAGGAAGCAGCGGAACCAGAGGAGAAGGATAACGGTGAGCTGGAAAAGGGAAAGTGACTTGATAGTTTCCACCAGTCTGGGGCGCATTTCACGAACGTCCGTTCGCTATTTTCTCCGCTATCTACTCCGCTAACTAGTAACTACTGAGTTTAGCGGACAACTTTAGCGGGAGCTCTGCATATCCCGCTAAGTTTAGCGTAGCACTATAGTGTATATAAAAACCATAAAAATACAAAATTCACACTAAACTACAATGAAATAAGATCTTTCGTAATAAAAAATAGTCTTGGCTGTTTGTTATGCATGTTATTGGGACAAAAAATTTGTTTAAACTGCACTAGGAGTATGACAAACGTTGTGTATTTAAATAGTTTACCATGTATTGCAATGGTTGTTGATGCCACCGATTTACGTAGGCCCTACGCGTGTAGTGCCTGTTTGTACCTTGTTTGCAAACTGGTTGTATTGATTGTACAATTGATATTGTATTTTTGCATACCTTCATAAACTTTTGAAACTTTTATAAAACTTCAAAACGTTAAAATTAAAACAATTAAAACAATTACCAAACCATCATAAACATTGTTTTCATACCTTTATACCTTTGCACTGATCCTTGCTTGGCCAATCAATACGGCCTCTATTTGACCATTACCGCAGAGTTGATTGAGTTGACTAGCTCAGACGATGAGGAGAAGAAGAAGGAGAGAAAAAAAGAGGTTGTGAAGACTGAAGATGAAGATAGTGATGTTGTGCTCATCACTAGTGATAATAGTGACCAGGTAACTATTGCAACAACTACAACTACTATTCTGTTGGTGAACGACAAAGCTGGAACTATTTACCTGCGGAACATAGTTTGAACACCATGTCAGTGGGAAGATAATACGTTTTGATTGAATATTGTTGCGTGTTTTCAGGCAGATGAGGACGATGTTGCCAATAGCGGCTCGCACGTCAACGATGCTTCCAACCAGCCGGACAGCCAGGGCCGCGTACTGGTCAATGTCGGTCATCCCCCGGACGAACCTGACATCTTCCTCGCACCGCAGCTGAACAAAGCTGTCAAACCTCACCAGGTGAACTCCCTCTGTCCTCCCTATCATATGTCCCTGTGCCTACGATAGATTAGTCTGCATTCACTTCACTTTTAAAAGATAGGTAACTTCCTCCTCCCCACCATGTCTACCTATGTCCATCCTTGAAGTATGGGTATCTTCTACCGTAGTATGATCGGTGAAGTAACACACCTATCATATCTGATTCTTAAATACCAGATGGTGCATGTGGTTTGAAAGCTGTACTTCGCCTAATTCTAAGCAAGGTGGTGTGAGTGTCGGTTTAATTATTCCTGTCTAAAAATGTGTTACATACATGACATATGTTTTGAGATAGGCAAGGACAATTTGGAGTAAGTGGTTTATGATTTGTTATCAGATTGGAGGAATTCGCTTCTTGTATGACAACCTAGTTGAGTCCCTCACTCGCTGTAAGACAAGCAATGGGTTCGGATGTATCTTGGCACATAGCATGGGCCTAGGCAAAACTCTACAGGTATGTGATGTTGATAAGCATGTATGTGTAATGTCTCCTACAGAATAACCAGCTTGCAATTTACTATATAATATCAAAAAGACGCTTGCACTTGCCATAAAATGGTACTTTAGGTAAAAGCATATACATGACCAGTAAAACGTTATTAGGTTAGTGGCATTTTTAATGCATCATCAATAGACAGTTTTGTTTGAATATGCCTTCAGTTGCGAGGGATAAACTTTAATACTGATCGCAATTTTCTTTACCTGTCTAATAAGGGTCTACAAAATGTTTACTGTAGATAGTACCACAGTTGCTACCTGACCACAAGCTGTAACATAACATTTCTTTAATTATTTCTTTGAATATTTCAGTTGATATCCTTCACGGACGTGTTTCTGCGGCATACCGACTGTCGTAATGTCATCGCCATAGTTCCTGTCAACACCCTACTGAATTGGGTCGCTGAATTCGACCTATGGCTGCCAACCACATCGAACTCACCTCCCGAGGAAGTGCTCACGCGACAGTTTGAGGTGTTCATCCTTAATGACAGTTGCAAGACGATGGCCTCCCGTGCACGCGTCGTCAGTAAGTTGTACTCGCAGTGTAGGGTGCCACTGCTTCTAAAGAAACATTGGTGTCTGCTACATAGAAATGCAATGAATCCTTGCTTGCTCGTAGAGTATACCATCCAGGAAGTTTGCTACGGGTAATATTACGCGCTAAACCTGTTGCTACCTTTAACCCTAAACCTGTTGCTACCTTTAACCCTAATCCTAACTGTGACCTATGTATAGTGACTAGAAACTGTAACGTTACTCATATTGAAAAAGCCGGATTGTATACTGTAGCCTTGCTTGCTGCAAACCCTTTCTGAAATATTGTCATACGTGCTACACAGTGGTTACATTCGCTCAACAAGACTATTCTCTAGGCTGTTCCAGTAAATGTTGGCTATAAAGCAACCTGTGAATTAGGAGCGAAAAAGCGATTTCAGACCCACTCACTTACTCCTGTTCCACTGATGTGTGGCGCCATCTGTTGTAGACAAGTGGCACAGCGAAGGAGGGGTGCTCATTATGGGCTACGAGATGTATCGTCTGCTAGTGTCAAACAAGTTCAAGCGCAGCAGCAAGAGCAAGCGTGCACGTGCACGAGCCGTGGCAGCGGACTGTAAGCAGGATGCACTTATCATTGATATCGAAGAGGAGGAGCTGAACAAGCAGTACATGCAAGGTACGTGCACAGCCCTGTCACATGCCGGCCTGTCTAACGACAGCAGTCTTACACAGCCCTGTAACACGCTGGCCCGTCTAACGACAGCAGTCTTACACAGCCCTGTAACATGCCGGCCCATCTAACCACAGCAGTCTTACACAGCCCTGTAACATGCCGGCCCATCTAACCACAGCAGTCTTACACAGCCCTGTAACATGCCGGCCCGTCTAACGACAGCAGTCTTACACAGCCCTGTCACATGCCGGCCCATCTAACCACAGCAGTCTTACACAGCCCTGCCACATGCCGGCACGCGTCTAAACGCAGCAGCAGTCTTACACAGGCCGCTGTAACATGCCGCCCATGCTAACGACAGGGCAGGTGCTTAGCACAGGCCCTGTCAGCATGCCGGCCGCATCTAAACCACAGCATCTTTACACACCCTGTAACATGCCGGCCCGTCTAAGCGAACAGCAGGTCTTACACAGCCTGCTGTCACACGGCGCGCCGGCGTCTAGACGCACAGGCAGTACTCAACGAGCAGCCCTGTCACATGCCGGCCCATCAAACCACAGCAGTCTTAACAGCCAGCTGTAAACATGCGCGGCGCCATACTAAGACGACAGCAGTCTAGCACAGCGCGCTGTCACATGCCGCGCCATTCTAACCACAGCAGTCTTTAGCACAGCCCATGTCAACACCTGCCGGCCCGTCTAACGCACAGCAGTCTTTTACACAAGTCCTGTTAACATGCCGCGCCGTCTAACAATAGCAGTCTTACACAGGCCTGCCCTGTAAAGCATGCCGGCGCGTCTAAAACGAGCAAGCAGTCTTACACAGACCCTGTAACATGCCGGCCCGTCTAACGACAGCAGTGCTACAGGCAGCCTGCTGTAACATGGCCGGCCCCATGCTAACCACAGCAGTCTTATCACAGCCCTGTAACATGGCCGGCTCATCTAACATAGCAGTCTTCCACAGCCGGCTGTAAACATGCCGGCCGCATCTACAACGAGCAGCAGTCTTCACAGCCCTGTAATACATGGCCGCGCCGTCTAACGAACAGCAGTCTTAAGCACAGCCCTGTAACATGCGCGGCCCATCGGCTAACGGCTACAGCAGTCTAACACAGGGCCCTGTAACATGCCGGCTCCAATCTAAGCGACAGCAGTCTTAGGCAGCGAGCCGCTGTAACATGCCGGCCAGTCTATACGCACAGCAGTCTTTTAGCACAGGCCCTGTAAGCATGCGGCGCCGCTCTAAGCCACAGCAGCTCTTACAGCAGCCCTGTCACATGCCGAGCTGACATACTAACGACAGCAGTCTTAGCACAGCCCTGTAACTATGCCTGGCCCATCTAACCATGAGCAGCTACACAGTCGCTGTAACATGCGCTAATCGCTTATGCTAAACGGCATAGAGTCTTAAGCACAGCCCTGTGAACATGCGCGGGCGCCATCAAACGACAGCAGATCTTAAACACCAGTCGCCGAGCGCTGTAAGCAGCGCGGCGGCCATCTAACGAGCAGCAGTCTTTAGCACAGCTCCTGCCAGATCCGAGCGCCCGTCTAACGGACAAAGCGTATGCTTACACAGCGCCGGACTGTAACATGCGCGCCCATCTAACGGCAGAACAGCTATGTTCTTTACAAGCATGCCTGTGGCACATGCCAGCTCAATCTAGACGAACAAGCAGTCTTACACAGCGCCTGTAACTAATGCCGGCCATTCTAACGGCAATAGCAGTGCTTACACAGTCCTCGTCAAACATGGCCAGCGGTCATGCTAAGCCATAGCAGTCTTTACACCACGCCTGTAACAGTAGCGGCCATCTAACGACAGGCAGTCTACAGCAGCAACTGCTAACATGCCGGCGGCCATCTAAACCATATGCAGTCTCACACAGGCCCTGTAACATGCCGGCCCATGCTAACCACAGCAGTCCTTAGCACCAGCCTGTAACACGCTGGCGGCGCTTAAACTACATGGCAGTCTTACACACAGGCCGCTGTCAGCATGCCAGCTGCATAACAATCGGCATAGGCGAGTCTATACCACAGCACCTGTCAGCAATGCCAGCTCATCTAAACCACAGCAGTCTTACACCAGCCCTGTCAGCATGCCAGCTTCATCTAACCATAGCAGTCTTACACAGCCCTGTGCACATGCCGGCCCGTCTAACCAGAGCAGTCTTACAGCAGGCCCTGTAACATGCCGGCCGCATCTAACGACAGCAGTCTTACACAGCCCTGTCATCATGCCGGCCCATCTAACCACGAGTAGCAGTGCTTACACAGCCCTAGTAACATGCCGGGCCGGCGTCTTGAACACAGCAGTCTACCAACAGCCCTGTAAACATGCCGGCCGCCGATCTAAAGCCACACGGCCGCAGTCTTACACAGGCCCTGTAACATGCCGGCCCATCTAAACCAGCAGCAAGTCTTACACAGCCGCTGTCCAGGCATTGCCGGCCATCTAACCCCAGCAGTCTTATCACAGCCCTGTCACATGCCGGGCCCGTCTAACCACAGCAGGTGCTTACACAGCCCTGTAAACATGCCGGCCCATCTAACGGACAATGGCAGTGCATTACACAGCCCTGTCACATTGCCGGCCCATCTAACAGGCAGCAGGCCAGTCTTACACAGGCCCTGTAACATGGCCGGCGCCTCTAAACACGCACAGCACCGTCTTCCACAGCCCTGTAAACATGCCGGCCGCATTAACCAGCAGCAGTCTTAGCACAGCCGCTGTAGCATGCCGGCCCAGTCTAACCACATGGCAGTCTTACACAGCCCTGTCACATGGCCGGCCATGCTAACCACAGGCAAGTGCTGTATCTTACACAGCCCTGTCACATGCGGCGGCGCCGTCTAACGCGCACAGCAGTGCCTACAGCAGCCCTGTAAGCCATGCCGGCGGCGCGTCTAAGCGCACAGCAGTGCTTACACAGGCCGCTGTAAGCATGCCGGCCCATTCTAACCACAGCAGTCTTAAGCAGCAAGCCGGCTGTAAACATGGCTGGCCTTTGTTACCGTCTAACGACAAGCAGTCTTACACAGCCCTGTAACACTGGCGCTGGCCCATGCTAACGACAAGCAGTCTTACACAGCCCTGTTAGCATGCCGGCCGGCGTCTAACCATAGCAGTCACATACACAGTCTGTCAGCCATGGCCGCCCATGCTAACGACAGCAGTCTCTCAGCACAGCCCCTGTCACATTGCCCGCCGCGTCTAGACCACAGCAGTCTCACTACAGCCCTGTCAGCAATGCCGGCCCATCTAACTGCAGCAGCAGTCTTACAGCAGCCCTGTTAGCATGCCGGCGCGGGACCCGTCTTAACTATCGGGGGAGCTGGCGAATGTGAGGGGCGGAATAAGGCCAGAGATAAAGGAATGCATAGTCTTAGCACAGTCCTGTCACATGCCGGCCCATCTAACCGACAGGCAGTCTCACAGCAGCCGGCTGTCACATCAGTCTGCCGGCCCGTCTAAGCCACAGCAGTGCTCACACAGCCCTGTCACATGCCGGCCCCCATCTAACCACATGCAGTCTTACCAGCAGCCCTGTTACATGCGCGCGCCGTCCTAACCAATAGCATCTTACACGAGTCCCTGGTCACATGCCGGCCCATTAACGCAACAGCAGTGGCTTACACAGCCTGTACCATGCTGGCGGCCGTCTAACGCAACAGGCAGTCCTTACAACAAGCCCTTGTCAACATGCCAGTCCATGCTAAGCCACAGCAGTCTACAGCAGCGCCTATAACATGCCGGCCCATCTAACCACATATAAGCTTCTGATTCTATAAAAAAATAATTATCGCACTTAGTACCTATTGAAACTAATACATGCATGACCTATTGTTATTTGTATCTGATCACCTGATATAATATATAATATAATTGATTTATATAATTATGATATTATATCCTGTTGCAGATGTTGAGAAAGCACTGATCAGACCTGGCCCAGATCTTGTTATTTGTGACGAAGGACATCGAATTAAAAACTGCTCTGCCAGCATTTCAAACACACTGAAGAATATACGCACCAAGTGAGAAATAGAGTCTGTGATTTGTCTGACTTTGTGCCTTGGTGATTGCAAGTCTATGAGACCAGCTGTGGATTTATTAGTATAACAAGCATCATGTTCATCATGAACATCCGTGTTATCGTCAGCATCATCATAACTGCTGTAGTCGTTCACCACCATCGTCGTCATTGATCTGCTATCATTATCACTCAATCTACTACCATCACTAACTATTATCTTTACGGTTGTTACCGTCAGTATGGCTGTCGTAAATTACATCGTCATTGCGGTCGTTTGTTTGCAGACGCAGGGTGGTACTCACTGGCTACCCTCTACAGAACAACCTGATTGAGTACTACTGCATGGTCGACTTTATTCGGCCAAACTTTCTCGGCACAAAAGCGGAGTTCATGAACATGTTTGAGCGACCAATCAGCAACGGGCATTGCACCGACAGCATGCCGGTGGACAAGAGGCTAATGCGGTTCCGTTCTCACGTTCTTCACAGCCTCCTCGAGGGTTTCGTGCAGAGGTGTGTGCTCCCATTACTATCCACCCAGCAGCCTTTCCCATCTTCCACAGCCTCCTCAAGGGTTTACTACAGAGACATTTGGCATTACTTCCATCCACCAGCCTCCTCAAGGGCGTTTTACAGAGGTGTGCCCCTTCTCCCATCTAAGCAGCAGCCTCTCCCATGTCCTGCAGCCTGTTGCAGGGTTTCCGATGGAGGTATGTGCCCCTTCTGCTATCCCTCAGTTTCCTCTCAGGCCTTTCACTGCTTTAGTGCATTCTACAGCCCTTTACTCCTGTCCCCCACGCTCATATTTATTTTTGATTCAGCCCCGTTAGTACTGAGTCTTCTACTGGGCTACTTTTTATGTACGTATTGCTCACCCATATGTTCACCCCGGTTGATTGGTGCGCTAGTATTCTATGAGTCGTGTAAGAGAATTTGCTTTGCAGACGAGGCCACACTGTTCTGCAGTCTTGCCTCCCACCGAAGGAGGAGCACGTATTACTGGTGCCTTTGTCACCTGTGCAGAAGAGGCTGTACCGCGCCTTCATGGTGGTTTGCACTTCTGGCATGAGCAGCTGGGCACGCTGTAACCCTATCAAGGCTTTCTCGGTCTGCTGTAAGGTAACAGGCTATGTGTGTAGTATTACTGCGAGGCCAGCACACCATTTGGCGTGCAGGAGTCACTTGAATAAGTCGTTTAGATTTTATAGGTACCGATTCGTCAGTTATTTTTCTGATCGCAAAACAAACTTAGTAGACTTCAGTACAGAAACTTATACATGGACTTGGTTGTAAAACTAACACTGAAGAAAAATTCAGGTGTATTGGGAAATTGCACTGATTGATGCTTGAAGTGTTGGAACAATGTGCAGTGTTGTTTGGAGTGACCATTAATTGGTAGACAATATTAACTGTACGGTACTGCCAGCGTGATCGCAGTAACAATAGCAGCTTGGTTTTAACTGAAGCAAAAGCAAAATAATGTTTGCTGCCACTGTGCGCTTGCGACTGATGATCGACTGACCACTTGACATTCCCCGCCCGTAGATCTGGAACCATCCTGACATTCTCTACGACACGGTGAGGAAGAAGAACCGGAAGGTCGACGACCTTGACCTTGACCTGCCTGAGCTCGCCGTTGACGGCGTGGAGAGCGCTGCAGGAGGATCCGGGAAGGCTACGACCCCTAAGCGGAGAGGGAGACCTCCCAAAGCTGGTGAGATAGTGGCTATTCTCATAACTCGGTAACGCTGGAAACTATAGTGGGCAGGGAATTTGTATCATGTGCGACGCAGGTGGCAATATGTTAAACGGGGTAAAGGTGTGTTCTTTTAATGTTATTCTCACTTTTTAATGAGGTAACAACAATCTTATTGAATCGAACTGTGATAAACATTCATCACGTGGTTAACAAGTCATGGTCATGCTCTCACATATCACAGGCATCATAACAGCTCGAAGGGGGGGGGGGGTATTATTAGTCCCTCTCTGGGACAATCATTCTAGTTTAAACTGGTTGCTTATGATGAATTAAATTGTGCCTCTGTTCTGAACAGGGTCCAAAGCATCACCAATCTCACGGCCTGTTGTGGCTGATAATGGCAATTCCAACATGAGCAGTATGGTGTCAGAGGATTCTGACAGTAACTTCCCGACCAGTGTGAGCTGTGGTGTAAGTGGCACCACTAGTGTACCGGCCTCGGCTGAGCCGAAACAGACACTGGATGCAGGACCCTCCCTGTTTAACGACAAGGTCGATAAAATGATTGATTACGAGTGGGTAAGTGGCTGCCATGTTATCTGAGTTTTTACAACAGTGCTGCAACAACTTTAAAACAACCGCAACATTTTTACAGTCATAGTGAAAAATCAAAGTTAAGTCTTAAATAGTGAATATATAGTCATATATATTTAGTCTAATATAGTGTTAGATAGCCAGATTCTGGCTTTAATGGTCACAGTATCCATCTAAAAGTGGACTGTGGAAACGGGCAGCCAAATGTATGTTGGCTTTGAACAATGTCTCTCATCTATTTCCTTGCAGGCAGATGATTTGGTAAAGGATTACCAGCCAGGACTGTTAGAGAATGGAGGCAAGTTTGTACTCACGCTGTGCTTGCTTGAAGAGTCGATACACTTACAGGACAAAGTACTTCTCTTTAGGTATTGATATACTAATCAATCGTTTTATTAGGATTAAAAATGCATTCTGCAAATTGATAGTCATGGTTACATTTTATAGGTGGCACTTTACATGGATATTTGCATGTGGTTTGTGTTTTAGTCAAAGCCTGAGTACACTGGATCTTATTGAAAAGTTCTTGGGTCGACACTATGTGCCCCTTCCGGCCGATGCTGACCCGCAGCAACCACGAGTAAAGTGGTCCAAAAACCAACACTACTATCGGCTGGACGGTTCCACTTCGTCTAGTGATAGGGAGCGATTGATCACACAGTTCAACGAATCCAAAGACATTCACTTGTTCCTGCTGTCAACAAGGTAACCGTGATAACCGATAAATAACTTGCGAAACTGCACAGTTCTCAATTTAGCAACGTCAAATTTCGCATATTCGCTCGTCGTTCACTTCCATACCAATCGGCCAGCATGCGTAGCGGTGCATTCTGTGTTCGACCCCCCCCCCCCCCATGCGCTGACATCTGTGTTACTTCAGGGCCGGCTGCCTCGGCGTGAACCTGATAGGTGCGAACCGTGTGATCGTATTCGACGCGTCATGGAACCCGTGCCACGACGCGCAGGCCGTCTGCCGCGTTTATCGCTACGGGCAACGGAAGGCCTGCCACGTGTACCGGCTTGTCGCTGACAACACTCTCGAGAAGAAGATCTATGATCGGCAGATCACCAAGCAGGGCATGTCAGGTGAGACTAGCAGTGCATGTCAGGTGAGACTAGCAGTGCATGTCAGGTGAGACTAGCAGTACCAGTGTGGGCCTGAAGGCCTTTGTGTATGTTTCCCAACATTAGGCTGTTCTCAAGTTATTATTGGGGTGTATATAACAGCAATAATACTTTATTGGTGGTAAAACCCATAGCTCATGTTTTCACCTATTATCCATAATCCGAGTTAAAGTGATTACGTCACCGTAAATACACACACAAAAAATATAAGTAATTCTGTTCACTTTTTATGGTTAAATTGCTGCATTATACTTCTTATTTTACTATATTGTTTGATGTGAACATACACTCGTGACGCATACATAGCCCATAGCAAGCAATTAATGTCAGAAACACTAATATCAAATCGTCCAGGTTTTTTGGATTTTTAACTAGTTAAGAAACAATCTTATCAGGTAAGAATTTTACGATACGTTTAGTCCCATTAGTTCTTACTTTTAATGTAAAAAAATGGCAACAAAATTTTTACAAATTTTACCATAGAAAATTCGTGACGTAATCAATTTAAACGTGACCATCGATGGTGATGAGGAATTTCATTAGTGTTCAGAGAAGATTAGTATTTTGCATTTTCGATCTGCTCTTGCATCTTATTCCCTGCTGCGGTGCTCGTGTGTGGTCCGGCAGCCAGCGAGCGGATAGTAATGGCGTCTGCGGCTCTTCCAGATCGTGTCGTTGATGAACTGCAGCCGGAGCTGACGTTCTCAAAGAAGGAGGTCGAGTCGCTGCTGACCTATCAGGAGGCGGACAGCCCGATGGTGGACGTGAGCATGTGCGCGGACAAGTACACCGACAATATACTCCAGCATATCTGCAGCACCTACAGCCACTGGCTCACAAAGGTGTGTGTGTGTGTGTGTGTGTGTGTGTGTGTGTGCGTGTGTGTGCACGTGTGTGTGTGCGTGTGCGTGTGCGCGCGTGTGTGTGTGTGAGTGTGTGTGTGTGTGTGTGTGTGCGTGTGCGTGAGTGCGTGCGCGCATGCGTGTGTGTGTATGTCATTCCCAGCTCCTCAATAGAAGAATTTCTTGTCATGTCTGTATAGCGGCGTGCGTGTACATGTGTGTTGTTCGCAGTGTGGATGTGCGTATCGCTCCTGGCACCACCAGTGCGAAGGATATTCAAAGATGACTTGCCTTGTGGCTGCTGTTTTAGACTATACTGCAACAATTCGAAATGCTTAACATTTCACGTAAACAGTGCTGCTGTTTTGTATGTAACAGGAACCGTTTCAACATGAAGCGCTGCTGCTGGACAGGAAGGATCGCCGGCTGACGAGGGGAGAGAAGAAGCTAGCACGGCAGAGCTATGAGATGGAGAAAAAGGCTGGTGTGTCGTACTCACGGCGAGGAGATTTCAGGAGCAACATCGGAGGGTACGTGACCGTCAATCTCATGCACATGTTCGTAAAATATTACTGAAGGTGGCAGGAAAAAATCACATAGTATATGAGAATCAATCATCAGACATCTCATAATTACTACTATCTCAGGAAACCCTTCATACCTTTTGCCGCCGTCGTTGTAAGCAATGGTATAGCAGTTAGTTTTAAAACATTAAAAAAATATTGCTAATGAATATTGAACAATGAAATTTGGAAGTAGCATAATTTAAATCTATTTTAACTAAAATATATGCAAGGAACCTAAGGTGATGTGTCCCTTTAATCACAATGCGGGAGATATGGTGCTATTAGCTGTATTGTAGTTGCAAGCAAAAGCCATCATAGGCATTTCAGTTTAGTTTTTATTGCGAACTTGTTTTATTCATACAGTTTTGATCGGCCCGTGGCACCAGTGAGACCCATGCAGTCACTTGTGGCGCCATCTGGTGAACGCATGGTGCCGCTGCACTCTGCACCTATCCCTATGCAGCCGCAGCATGTCAGAGTGCCGGCGTCCACCATTTCGGACGTGGCCGGTGCACTGAGGCTGCCCACGGCCGGAGTTCAGGTGGCCCAAGTGGTGACCACGAAACGTATGTTGTCCATGTCATGTAAGCTCTGTCGGGCTTAATTTGTCCATTTATTTTCGTTGGTGTGGCAACACCAATCCACCGGACGTGATTGACAGGCAACTCTAGCCCATCAATGTTGCAGTAGGTCGTTCTGAAGAGAATGTTCCATAACTGAGTGCCACAGCGTTGACATTTTGGCATGTGTCCGCATAAAACCACGTGCACGTTAGCATGACCAACTTGGGAACAATAGCCAATGTGGATGTGGTTATGTGGCCCAGATTGATAGTTCAATTAGCCAGTGCTGCTGCTAGTAACTGTTGCCACCTGATGATATGGCCAAGACAAACTCGTGTTTTTTTGCTGTTTGCAGCCATCCCGATCCCACTGCAGCAGACGAGCACGCAGACGACCGCCCATACCAGCGCCATGTCGATGATTCCCACCGGACAGAAAATCATGATCATCCGCACGCCGCGCGGCATCTACATTCGCACGGCCGACGGCAAGATGTTCTCCGTGAAGCCGCGGCAGCAGGCCTCGGCCGGGGGTGGCAGCGAGATTGAGCGCGCGCTGGGCAGCCTCGGTCTTCCCCAGGGCCGCGCGTCGGACCTGCCCGACCTGCTGCCGACGGTTGAGAGCCTGACGGGAGCCGGCAGGTCGAACACGCTCACCGAGGTCGTGTCGCGTTCCTACCAGGTCACGGGGCTGAGTGCCCGGCCAGCGCCGCGCATTGTCGCGCGCGCCGCGCCGTCCCGCACCGTCGCAGCCGGGGTGCGTAGCGCCGCGCTCGGCGCCCCGTCGTCAGCGCGCGGCGCCCCGTCGTCAGCGCGCGGCGCCCCGTCGTCAGCGCGCGGCGTCGCGTTCGCCTCCGCCGTGCGGCGCAGCGTCTCCCAGGGTAACCCGCTGTCGTCCCTCTCCTCGATCGTTGATGGGCTCCCGCGTCGGAAGAGCTCCTCCGATCCCGCGCTTGATCGGGACGACGCCGTCACTCCTGACGACGCGGGAGCCAAGGACGGTGAGCCGCCGGCGACGCAGGGCAGCGAGTCGTCACCGATGGAGGACGTGAGCGAGCCGGCCGACGAGACGGCGCGCAGCAGGGAAGGCACGCTGTCGCGACACGACAGTCTCGCGTCAATGCAGAGCACCGACAGTGCCGTTCTCACTCGCAGAACGGAGCATTTGAATCTGTCGCAAGGGGTGGGCGATGCTGAAGAAGAAGCTGACGACATCATCGATTCACAGCAGCATCCCTCAACTTTGCCACACGGTGACGATGATGACGAGATGGCTTCTAGATCGCCTAGCAATGGTGAATCTTTGCTGCAGCGTACCTCCTTGCACAGCGATGACACAATTCCTACATCTCTGCAGTCTAACGTTGGAATGTCTTCACTGCAGAAACCATCTCTGCTGTCTAAAGTTAGAATGTCATCAATGCAGAAACCATCTCTGCAGCCTAATATTAGAGTGTTTGCAGTGAAGAAATCCTCATCTCTGAAGCCTAATGTTAGAATGATTTCACTGCAGAAATCCCCATCTCTGCATGCCACTGTTGGAATGCCTTCCCTGCAGAAACCTTCGTCCCTGAAGCCTAATGTCAGTGTGTCTTTACTCCAAAAACCTGTGAAACCTACTATTAGCATGTCTTCACTACAGAATGTTTCATCCGTGAAACCATGTGTTAGTAATTCTTCAACGCAAAATCCTTCAGCTGTGAAGCCTAGTGTCAGCATTTCTTCAATGCAGCATCCTTCATCCCTGCAATCTAACGATGGCATTGCTTCACTCATGGAACATTCACTCAATCACATGGAACATTCTTCAGTGCGCTCTGCTGAGCGAATAACCGGCCGACAACATCCCACACTCATGAAACCTAACGACAGTGTGGTTTCTGTAGAGCGTAATGAGGGTGTGACCTCTCTACATGAGGGAGTGACCTCTCTACAGCGTAATGAGGGCGTGGCCTCTCTACAGCATGAGGGCATGGTCTCTCTACAGCATGAGGGTGTGGCCACTCTACAGCATGAGGGTGTGACCTCTCTACAGCGCAATGAGGGCGTGGCCTCTCTACAGCGTAATGAGGGCGTGGCATCTCTACAGCAGAATGAGGGCGTGGCCTCTCTACAGCATAATGAGGGTGTGGCCTCTCTACAGCGTAATGAGGGTGTTGATTCTCTACAGTATAATGATAATGTGATTTGTGCTTCATCCTCTAATACACCCTACAAACGGTCCAGTTTTGTATCGCAGGTCCCTGTCTATAGCGGCCGCAGTGGGGAACAGTCATCACCTAGCTCTGCTCCTGGCTTGCAGTCTGCTTTTGGAAATGTGCCCTCTGCAGGAAATTTGACCAGTTCATCTAGGGGACATGGTATTAGCTACACAGACAGAGACGTGTCTGCTGCTCGAGGACAAGGTCAATTGTGGGGCCATAGTTCATATGGAGGTTCGTATGGAGGTGTGTTGCCTCCTTCTGCACTTGATTATGACATGCATGCGCAGCATGGTCCATTGGATTTCAGTCGGTACAGCAGGCCTGGTTCAACTGCTGGCCAGAACGTTGGCAACATGGTAGCTTGGAGCAACATGGGATTAATGTCAAGTAGTCCTCGGGGGGAGACGCCCTGTAGTGACCGATCATCTGGGGGTGGGACCACGCCCGATAGTACCTCCACTATGCAGCACGCCTCCCGATTGTCTGCCCAGTCCCACCAGACAGTTTCCCGATACCCTGCCCAGTCCCAACAGCCAACTTCTCAATTCCCCACTCAGTCTCCCTTGACCACTTCTCAGTTTCCCGCTCAGTCTTCACTGACCACTGCTCTATTCTCTGGCCATTCCCACCCAATGTCTTCTCAGTTCCACCAGCCAACTTCACAATCCCCTTCCTCCCAGTCTAATCAGGTACATAGATTTCCTACCCAGTCCCACCAAACAACTTTGCTTACCCCTGCCCAGTCCCACCAGTCGGTTTCCCAACTCCCTGCCCAGTCCCACCAGCCTGCTTCCCAACTACCTGCCCAGACCCACCAGCAGGCCTCCCAACTCCCTGCTCAGACTCACCAGCCTGCTTCCCAACTCCCTGTCCAGTCCCACCAGCAGGTTTCCAAACTCCCTGCCCAGTCCCACCAGCCTGCTTCCCAACTACCTGCCCAGACCCACCAGCCGGCTTCCCAACTCCCTGCCCAGTCCCACCATCCTGCTTCCCAACTCCCTGTCCAGTCCCACCAGCCGGCTTCCCAACTCCCTGCCCAGTCCCACCATACTTCCCAACTCCCTGCCCAGTCCCACCATCCTGCTTCCCAACTCCCTGTCCAGTCCCACCAGCCGGCTTCCCAACTCCCTGCCCAGTCCCACCATTCTGCTTCCCAACTCCCTACCCAGCCCCACCAGCAGGCTTCGAAAATCCCTGCCCAGACCCACCAACCAGCTTCACGTTCTCCCGCACAGTCCCGCCAGGCTGCTTTTTGCTCCCCGTCTCAGATGCAGCAGCCCATCACAATGCAGGAGGGGCCTTTGAGTGATCGCAGCTATATGCTAAGACAGCCGGCTGGCGAGTCTTCAGCCTTTCGATCACTGTCCCCTCCACAGGAGAGCCTTCCTTATCGCCCCATGCATGCGGAGAACCAGGCGTTAGCAGACAGCTATCCGATGTCGATGGGATATGGGGTGGCGGGCCTCCCCTACCGACCCCCACAGCACTGGGGAGGTATGCACGGGGGCACCACCACCAGCTCTACATATGGCGCCCCCTACTCTCTCAACCCTCCAGCCTCCCAATTCACACCATTTCCCGATGCTGCTTATCCAGGCATGGGTTTTGGTGCATCCGCTTCCCCTTGGTATGCACATGGACTCTACCCCCAGTACTCCGGGTACGCGGCACCAGAGTACGGTATGCAGGGTAGATCAGACCAGGGGTCATTCCCAAACTGGGAAGACTTGGCTAGTGGACGATGGGGAGAGGTGGGAAGCTCTGAAATGGGAACGGTGCCTAAAAACGAGAATGAGTGCGATGAAAGAAAGTATGAAGACTTGTAAACGAAATCTGTCAGTCTCGTAGAGTGTGTGATAGGAGAATCCGAACGGATAGAGAGGAACGAGGTCTGACGTAGTACACGGCTTGGTTATTGCACATGCTGTCCTATTATAGTCAAGCAGCACAGATTATAAGCAGAGCAGTTTATATTGCACCAAAGGTCGTGAAATCATTTGTGTTGTGCACCAAATATATATATATACTGTTTTAAGCCGATAGGAGGCTTAACATGGGTATTGCGTAATGAACGTGACATTTATGTATTAATTATAATGCATCACACACGCACACGCGCATGCACACACCTACACACCTGCACCTACATTTACACCTACACCTACGCTGTTGAAGTCTGATACTGCGTGAGACGAGAACTCAATAAAACGATCAACTGATATACAGATGTTAGAAATGAGTGGCATAAAGCATTACCATGTTGGGGCTCCGGATGCAATCATATACTTGGTCAACATTACATTGTTAGTACTACAGATGAGGGTGGCCGATGCCTGCGTGCATTTAATTAGTTATCCTCGTTAATAGCCGTTAATTATCGTCACATTTTCTCCTAGATTACGTAAGATCATGCACGGTACCGTGACTATATATATAGGAGGATCAGCCTCTTGACTTGTACCTTTGACCCCAGCTTCGGACATCCAACTCGTTTTTGGACGATCCCCCGCCGATGTGCCGAATGATCGTGACCGGTACGTCGATGCGGTTAAAGATTTGTGCCCAACTGTTGACGAACGGGACGCACGGACGGCACGGGACGATCGGCGATTCTACAAGCTGCATCTGACTATGTCAGATGAGCTAAAAGTTATCGCTCCAAATATTTTTTGGGTCATTATTTGTACTGTACAGCGATTAACCAGAATTATTTTTCTTGAGAACGTCTATGCATCGCTTGATGCACAATGCTATATATGGTGCACCAACAAATGCATATTCCGGGCATGGTTTCAACTTGTGCATAAAAGTACCATCGACATACCAACATGTAATTGGTTTTTCGCAAGTAGGCACATCTGACCAAGACGGTGCTAGCTTTTCTTACTTGCACACACTTCTGGATCTGACTACTGTTAGTAATTCAATCGTACACTCATCTTTTCTTCACAAATTCCACTTTGTTGACTATTTGGCATACATCCTACGATACTCGGTGTAATTGGCCCAAAACGGGGCCTGGTAACTGACTGTAAGATGAATTGTACGATACACGCGTCCCCACGGCTTGTATTTCTACAATAAAGATTAGCTGCAGCTTTAAAAATTGCCTTTACTTAAAGTATGTCGTGGCTGATGACCTAGTATGAGCGTATATCTTTGTATGCCCATTCCAAGATGCAAAATACATTTATAATTGAAAGAATTCGGTCGCGAACGGGAGTCATTTTACCTTTGAATTCCGTGAAACAAGAGCCATTAGATTGTTGTTATCTCGGGGAACGAGATAACATGTTCGGAGGGAAACAGAATGATTACCGACGACTCCCCCAAAGAGGGGGAACAGATTAAATCATTTCGATGGGGACGAGATAATAACAAAAAATATCTCGAGGGAGACGAGCATAATCATAGTTGTGGGAAGCAAGATAGTATCTCGAGGAACGAGATAATATCTCCGGGGAACGGAAATTAAAAAAAGATTTATCCCATGTCCCGCTTGCCCGGGCTTTCGGTAAGTACTAGTAGCTAGCGGAGGTAAATTATATCAGCAATTTGTGATGATTCGCTCGGCCCAAGCAGCAGCCTAGCTAGCTCTAGTACTGATAGCCCCGCGGATAGCTGGCCGGCAGCTAATCCGCGGGCTTAGTACTAGAAGGCTACGCCAAGCAAGCTGGGGCGCCAAGCTATGCCTTGAGTCCTTTACTGGCCGTCCCTGGTATCCTACTTACTACTATAGTAGTACCAGCTAGGAGCGCTATAATAATAGACTATTATAGTTCTATTATTATACGCTGTGGCTATATGCTGGCAACTGGGCACGGTCTTCGATTCCTAAATGCTGGCAGTATCGCTGAACCCTGAGACCGCTGTGTTGTGACTGAGATAACGCTGAAAATTAAAACTGCCGGGAATTTAGGAAATCGAAGACCGTGCGCCGGCGGAAGCCGTCGGGAGATATATGATCGGACTGCGGTGGCAGTATACGCCACATGAGCTTGTAGTACTGAGTAGCGCGCGTCTCATTAACTGCCGGCACGGCCTGTGGCAGTTAATGAACGCTGGGCTATAGTACTAGAGCTAATAGCCACTCTGATTATTATACCCTCCTGCTAGTAGTACTGTAGGCTGGACAGTACAGGAGCAGGTATAGTCCTAAATTCGGTACTGTACTGTTACTTACTACTTAGTCCTATCAACCATAACTGGGGGAACATCATCTCTATCCTTGAACGTGGCGTCGTACTATTCCTTAGACTAAGAAAACCGGGTGAGTGAGTACTAGTAATGAGTATGTAGTACTAGTGGAGCAAGAGTGAAGATACCTATAAAAAATCCTATAGGTCCCTATAGTTATCTTAGCTCCTGCTAGTATACGGTAGTGTAGTAGTAGTACTAGTGTAAGGATAGAGAAGAGCATGGGTCCCCAATAGCAGACCAATGTGCTAACCGCTACACCATAACCCTAACCTATTATATTGATATAGATATTTATTGTATATTGATGTAATGACATTGGTTTTAAGTTGGGACGGCCATGTTCTCTATCGCTTGAAGTTGAAGCCCGAAGTGACAGTACTCAGACTTGTCACAGGGCATACTTGAACCGGGGACGGCTGTATAAATCATGAAGGCAGCTAATTTCCATGCAATAACGTGAGGCAACCATCTCTATACTATTAGTTGGGATCATTTCTATTGCTATTGCCACGTATACGAAGGAAAACTAGCAATATAACGTTGACCGGTATGCGGTTGCTTTTGTTGTTATTGTTAAGTCTGCGACGGCGCGGGTCATCTCATTGCTAAACCTGCTCGCGTGTCAATAAAATTAAAGCCCGATGTGTCACATCGAGAAGTTGGCTCTATCGAAAAGTTGGCCACACGTTGTTTTTCAATCGTATGATTAGCAGTACAGCCACTAGCTCTAGTACCCGCGCTGCTGGCGGCAGGTAAGCGTAACAGCCGCCAGTGTACATGTAAGCGGCGCATAAGTACTAGAGCTATACAGCCCCTGACTAACGTATCAGCCTTCACACTGAAGGCGTAGCGAGAAATCAATGAATGGCAAACCCGACTAGCGCCAACCGAGCGCATTCCCTATAGTTGATGTACATTACCATACGGAGAAGGATACTAGCGGGATGT